GTCCGTCACCCCTGGCTGACCAGTTGCCCATCTCTCCATTTGTCTGTTCTTCTGGTTTGTACCAGCTGCAGACATGGCTTGTAAAATGAAACCAACACAATCTCTATGGTAACGATTTTATGTGTATCAAGTCTCAATTCTTGGTGTTTATCCAAATTGCTCGTCCTTTTTAGAGCAGATGTGAAGGTGATAGGCTCTCATTGCTTCTCATTGCATTGTTCTGTAAAATATTTGTCTAAAGGGCATAATGCACCACCTTCTTTACAGGGGCACTAGAACTAGAAATTATATAGGTGTAAGATATTGTATATTAATATTGTATAGTATTGTTACAGTTTTGGTTTAGCGTGCAAGGGGACCTAGTTTCTAAACCTTATATATACAAGTATACACCACTGCTCAAAGTTTGGGTCCGTAAGTTTTTTTTTTTTTTTTTTTAATTGATCAAAAGTGCCAGTAAATACTTTACATTGTTACAAAAAATTATATTTCAAATAAATTGTTTATCAAAGAAGCCTTAAAAAATGTATCAAGGTTTGCACAAAAATATGAAGCAGCCCAACAGTTTTCAGCATTGATAATAATAATAAATGTTTCTTGAGCAGCATATTAGAATGATTTCGGGAGGATTATGTGACACTGAAGACTGGAGTAATGAAAAACAGTTAAAAAAATGTTTTTTTTTTAAATTTGAATAATGTATAATTATAAAACCCTATGTAATTATGCAATGGTTATTTTTACAGAATAAGTTGAATTCAAAATCTACTTAGCTCAAAAATGTGACAGGACACATGTCCAGTTTGAATGGGCATGACATTTCTGATCTGTCAGGAGAATTGAAATGCATTCACGACAATCCCCAACTCACCAGGATATTTCCTGAGATTTTTTTTCCTGTGTTAATGTTAAATAGGTGCACAGACAGTCAATTAAGTTTTCATTGTTAATTTAGTAAGTCTAGCTTCATATTAGCTTTAACCATATTAAGCTTTCTTTCAATTTATTGACATTTTGGGAAGACCAAATCCCATTTATAAGCAAATTACCACAGCTGAACATTCTGAAAGAATAACATCTGGCGAATTGTGAAGCGCTGCTCTTTTCTGACTGATCCGCTCGCAGTGGGGTGTGTGATGAAATGTGTAAATGATGAGTTCCGATAGCTAATAGGACAAATGGCATGTCGGGGTCATGCTGGGGTCTAAACCAGCACAGGGTTGACGGATATCTGTGAAGGGTTGGAGGAGTGTGGTTGTGTTTCTGTGTATTTTACTGCATGTGTTCGTAAGGGCAAACGGAGTGACCCTGCAAAGAACTGCACCACGAAACTAGGGATGCACCGATACCGATGCTGGTTTACCTGTATGCCGATACCTGTACTCGTTAAAATGCCCCGATACCAAACGCCGATACCACACAGCATTTGATAAGTGCCGTATTCAGACAAAGAAACACCGACAGCAGAATGGAGTTATTAGAGACTAAAGATGTCTACGAAGTATATGTATGCAATGCATATAAAACATTCAGTATTAATGCTTGTATAGCTCATTTGCGCCAGCTGGTAAGCAAATCACGCTGAGCGGATTGAGCGCGCAGCGGCGCAAATGCTTGAGCTTGTCGAGTGAATATCCCTTTCTCACAGACATCACTGGAAAGTTTGTAGTTCGGTTGGATATGTCAAAAAGATGTAAGTAAAACAATGCAAAGGTTACTTAATGGTAGGGAGGGAGGGAGGGAGAGAGAGAGAGAGAAAGAGAGAGAGAGCGTGCACTTCTGTTGTGTGATCTTTATTGATGTTCGCTCACTTAGCACACGCATCATTTGGATTAAAACTAAATCGTAAATATAAGACAATTTATAGGGGCATTCACTATAAACGTAATTTATTTTCACCCTTAAGCATACACTACTTCCTGGCGAAAGTGAAACTAACATCCTGTGTGAAATGCGCTCGGCTGTACTGTATTTGTCCATCTCATTCTGCACCAGTACAAATACGTGTGCACGTTGTACGTGTTTTGCTTGCTTCATGAGTGTTTCTGCATTATATGAGTGGCTTTGGAAAATAAATCGCTGC